GATTTTCCTTTCCGAAAAAGCAGCTGGTTGCCAGCAAGGGTGAAGTAGCGAGTTTTCCACCTCTTGATAAACTTCCAGCGGACTTGCTTCTCCTTGAGCTTCCCTTCAATGAGAGGCTGCCCGTCCTGGTTCACACCTGGGGAGGGGACAGACGCGGGGGTTAGTGCCCGGAGGAACGCGTCGGAGTGGGCGGCCTCGCTGTTGGAGCAGCAACCTGTGCTGCTCCATCTACCACCTTTGTTCCCACTTCTGTTGGTTGCTGCATCCCTGTCCCCACTGCACCCCTCCCAGCGGCTCCTCAGCTCCACAAAAACGCTACTACACAATTAAAATTGGGCTTTCACATTGTCCCTCTGTCTTAAAACCACACCATATAGTTTAATGCTGAGTTATATTCCTGTCACAGGATAGTCTAGTCCAGAGATACAACTTTCTCAACTGCAAGAGTTTGCATATTTCCCGAAACCGTGCTAGGATCAAATACAGAGCTAGAACTACAACTTCCAAACGGAGCTCAGAAACTAGGCCCCACAGAAATCAGCATCAATCGTTTTTCATTTCATGGCAAATTCCAGCTCAGAAAGGGGATTTTTTGCTGGGAAAAGGGATGGTGAGACAAGGGGCTTGGTGTCCCCAGTGTCACACAGGGACCAAATCACAGCTCCTTTGGGCACCAGTGGGGACAGTGACGGGCTCTCTCAGCCCGCCCGTATCCAGTGTGCACATGATGACTTGCCCTGCGTTTTGTAGCAATCACTCCTTGTTCAACCAATATTCACTTCTCTACGTCTTCCTTTAGGGCTGTTCCAAAGATTTAACATTAACAGTCAATTTCATTTAAAAAAAATAAATAAAAAAAGCCAACCTTTTCAGTTTCATTAAAAAATAAACAGCAAAGCCTTGCGATCGCCCAGCCCTGCCCTCTGGGAACACGATGCTTTCTGCCACCTTGCCATTTCTAAAGTCACTCCTCAGTTTTGACACCCGCACACAAGCTGCCCAAGCACCACAGGGATGGCTCAAATGCAGCTCGAACAAGGCACAAAACGCACCCCAAATGCTGCCAAAAACCACTGACTCCCAAGCACCGGGGAAGATAATAATTCATTCTGAGACAGAAAATAAAAAGCTCTTTTCCCAGATGGCATTTTTCAGATATTTTGCTGCAGAAGAACAGGCCCTAGGACCACCAGAATTGTCCACATGGGCAGGACTGGTGGTGCTGCTAAGATGGGCGGGGAAGGCCCAGTTTTCCAGGATGTCCATTAGTTATCCTTGAAAGGTGCTCGGGAAAGGTGGCTTTGTGGGAAGACATTCCAAGTTTTAAGCTGCTATAGGTGGTTGTAAATGACACCTAAACTGATGACCAAGCTGTTGTGTTATCATGGCTGGTTGTGCAGATGCCTCCACAAAGTCCTGCCCTGGTGACACCCAGTGCCAACAGCCCCATCGTCCCACGCTCTGCCACTCGGCTCGCTGTATATTCATGTGACTGTTAAGAACTGAGCTCTGATTCTGAAAACTTATTTCTTGAAGACTTCTGTTTTACTTCTTAGGTGGGATCCACCTCCATGCTGCTGTGCACGCTTGCATGCGGTTCCTTGGTAGAAGGTATCCCCGAGGCGGATATTCCTTGGATATCCCCAAGAACACATGTAGCTGTGTGCCAGGAATTACCACCTCAGAGCATGATGCGAGCTGCAGAAACAGCTAGATGCAGCATAAGAGTGATCTGATACTGTTGAGCAGTTGAATGTTGTGCAACTTCCCAGCTCCTGGTTCCCTTCAGCGCGGTTCTGGTACTGATTGCTCTGCAGTAGGAACGTGTCTGAACTCAAACAAACAAGCTGGAAAGCTTGGAAAGACCAGAAGACACAGAGATGGCTGGTGGTCAGGAAAGCAACACGAGAAAGGGACTTAATGTGCCGTTTTGGCCTGAAGTGGATTTTTACGGCCGACGTCTTCCAAAAGTAGGATTTGCTAAAGAAATGCTGATCTCCTTTAAAGCACTCATGGCTGGAACCAACGCTGTAGCTGCAGTTCTCATGTACATCCACAAAGAAGTCCACGGGGAGCTCTGACGTCAGCTTCCAAAGACGACATAACGAAGTAGATGCCAGTATGTCTGACAGTACGATTAGAAGAAAAAGATTTGTGAAGGATAATATTATATTATTTCAATATTTTTACAAGCCCCTTTGCTTATTTTCAGTGCAGTTAACTTCACAGAATCAGAGTAATGCTGTTGGAAGGGACCTCCAGAAGTGTCTAGTCCAACCTTGGGCTCAAAGCAAGGCCAGCTGTGGGGTCACACTGTGTTGCCAGTTGACTCTTGAAAACTCTGAAGATGGAGACTCACCAGCCTCTCTGGGCAATGCTTGATATTCCTCATGCTGGGAATGTTTTTCCTTGTATTGAGTGTGAACCCCTTGTGTTCCAGTTACTCCTGCTGACTCCCATCCTCCCGACATGCACCCCGGGATGACCCTGGCTCCATCTCTCGATGACCTTGGTGCAGGTGTGGACAAGCTGCTATTAGGCCAAGCTGAACAAGCCCCTTGTCTCAACCTCTCTTCAGGGGCCAATTGCTCCAGCCTCCTTGGTTGGCCTCTGCTGAAGTTGCTTCAGTTTGTCAATGCCTTTCTTCAACTGGAGAGGGTCCAAAACTGGATGCAGAATTTGAGATGAAGTCTGGTGTGTATAAACAGCCCTTATTTCCTATCTGCTGCTTTAGTTTGGCCTCTTATCAAAACCATTCTCCTTTCAGAGGCTGTCCTGGAGTCCTTGTCAGGATTCCACTTGCACAACTCTTGTGCGAATGTGCAGTGAATGCCTGGCGCAAGTTTGGAGCAAGCGCATGGAGCTACGTTGGCAAGAGAGATCACAGTGCGAGCAACTCCATCCGGCCACGGAAACGCAGGACCTGGCTCTTCCGGAAGAAGCACACACACTTTTCATACACTTAGAAGAACTTTAAAAAAAGCAATCAACTACCAATGGGAGTGGGCACATTCCCTATACTCATCTGAATTATTGTTATTTCTACTTTTGATTTCTGCAACTCACATGAATCTACACAAATTGCCAAGAGTTCATAAAAATGGTTCAATAATGATTTAGGACTGGGTAATCTTTCGTATCATGGGAAACTAAGGATTCTCTTTAATTTGCCCAAGCAAACATAAAAAGAGGACATGATAAAGGCTACACATAGTTGTTACTATCACCCTAGCAGGGAAGGGCCTAATGCGATCCCAGAAATAAACTTGTAGTGTAGCAAGGAGCAATTCACCTGAGCAACTACTTAGGGAGGCCATGAGTTCTCTCTCATCTGACTTTTGAAAATCAAGGTTGGATATCTTTAGAAAAACATGAAAAGATTATATAGACCAAAGAGAAGACACTTCTTTGATAAAAACATTGAGCTAGATTTTCTTGGCTACTGGTTTATAGGAGCTCAAAGTAAGTGACCAAGCAATGCCACTGTGTTTCTATCTCTCTGTAGGATGGCATGCTGACACGAATCAGGGGATCTTTTGCTAAGAAAATGGAGTTACAGAAGTTGAAGTATATACATTTATACTAAATACTTTTTAAAACTTCTTCTGCAGAATACACATAAAAAAGTCGAAAATATTACCCAAACTAAAAATGGAAAATTATTTACTGTAATTTCCATTGCCTCTTAAAACATATCATTATACAGAGACTAACTCCCAAATCAGTGTAAGTATCTCTTAACATAACTGCCCATGGGAATTATATTGTATTAATTGTGTCTTGCCTTCTTTGCAGAACTCTAGTGCATCCATCTTTAAGCAGTTTTGGTACTGAATAAAGGGGGAGAGAAAAAAAAAAAAAAACGAACCACCTCCAAGATGAACTCAAGTCAGATAAAAACAAAGTATTAAATCTTGCGTTTGATGAAACGCACAAACGTCCACAAAAATTCAATCCAATCATGAATGATCTTAATGATAATAAACTCTGCTTAATGAGAAAGAATGGAATGCGTGTGGGGTAAGCAGAAGATCACTGAAATTAACCTAGGGGAATACGGATTCACTCGCTTTCAGTAATCACCACATTTGGTTTTGTTGAAAACCTAGAAAGGACACATTACTGAATGCCACTTTTTATAATTTTCAAGCAAGTATTATAGCTGGGATATTTCAGTTCACCAGATAATCACCACTGCTAGCAAAAGATAAATGTATTCAGAAGTTAATATGGTGTAGGCTATTCTGAGCGAATTGCTTTTTTAAAGAGGAATTCATAAAAAAGCCTCAGTTTTACCCGAATCATTGCCCATGGGCACAATGTCTCTTCTGCAGCCCACAGGGATTACTGCAATTTCTTTGTAAGCTTCCAGAATATGGAATGTACTGCAATTCCCTCCTAGGCTATCAAGTGGTTTTACTGAATGTTTTTTTGTGCAAGAGCCTGTGAAGCCAACTGTCAATACAGAAGGTTATGTTGAAATGAGGCTCTTTAGAGCCAGCTTTTCCTAGCAAGAGCCGCATATTGTATTGACTAAAATTTTAAATGCCGTGTAGCCGTGCTCCAACAAACACTGTTTAAAAAGTAGCCTAACTTTTTAAAGCTCTGAGAGCATCTGCACACAGAGGACACGCACACACGGGGTCGGGGGAGCGGGCTACGTGGGAACCCTCTTCCCCCGCGGCTGGAGGGTAGCAGGGGAAAAAAAAACAACACAATAACCCAATTCAGGATGATTTAACAGCACTTCTGGAAAAATGTGGTTGTCTAAGAAATGCTTTGCAGTGACAAGAATGCATGAGAAATATTCAGACTTTCTCCGGGTTAACTGCCACTTTGGGTGCATCCACTGTGTTGCTTAAGCACAAGGGCCTCCTTCCTCATCACCTTCGTCTCCAAACGTAATGCGTCTCTCAAAGCTACAGCTGCAAAACCCTCACTGATCTGGCATCCTAAGGCAGGATCAAGGCTTTAAGGCATAATCCTTTCCTAAGTCTTGAGGATAAATGGCATCTTGCAACACGGTATCCAAAAAATGTAACAAAACCCAGCATTAACAAAAACCAAAAGAAAATAATAGAAAAAGAATTTGCCTCTGAATTCTTTCTTTAAGAAGAATTTGGTCATTAAGCAGCATTGCTGAGAGGGAGGAATGACTTGCTTGTCTTTCAGAAGTATTTGAGATTTCGAAAGTGTCTGTCCCACTGCGGAACAAAAATCCAACATGTTTCATGTCCTTTACATTTCTTAGCAGCTCAAGGAGAGCTCAGATCCCTTTTATTTGCCTACCTCAAATCCTGTAAAGCGAAGACGCCACCGCAGCATCTCCCGCTCTGCTGTGCTCGCTGCTTTGCGTCACCAACGCCAGCACCTCGTCACGGCCCCGCAGATTTGGTGGCTCTGCCGCAGATTCCCCTGCGGCCCACGTGGCACCACGTGCTCTCCTGCCGCGCGAGCACTTGGGTGGCCCCGACTTACCCACCCCTACAGCTGCCTCCTCTTGTGGCCTTGTTGCTACCGATGCCTTTGGCAGCCCCTCTCTTCCCCTGCCTCCGTGTTCCTCGCTCCCCCATGTACGCTGACCCTCCTGCAGCACCAGGGAGCATCTTCTGCCCAGACCTTGGGAGCCTCCTCCTCTGCTCGCTGCTTTTCCACACATTTGGGAGGCCTTGGCAACTCCTCATCTAACCAAACATTTTTAGAACTCAGGACCGTTGCTGGATTGCTCTTTGTTTTGGGGAAGAGAAGAAAGCTGCTAGATGTCAAGAGTCATTATCAAGTGCAAACCCTGTGTCTGGAGCTGGTTAAGTGGCATGACTGGGAGAGCAATGTTATTGCTACCTGCAGTTTAGAAAAAATGCACAAATAAAGATGAGGAGTTGTCAAAAGGTTAGGAACCAACTCCGAAAAACCTTTCAGCAAAGCGTATTTAAAGTCAAAAGTTCCTACATCTGCTGAGAAGGCAATATTTCACTTAAATCCCAATGCTTTACTAGCATTTCTTTTCCACGGGGGTTTAGCTGACAGGATACAAATGCAAGCCAGATAAAAGTCGAGCCCCCAGAAACATTTCTTTTTCCGCTCCTAGAAGAGGCAATGTGTTTTACAGGGGCAGTACCTACGTATACTATGTAGATATGTAGTATGGAGAAATGAAAGAAATCCAGGTGCGACAAAGTCGTCTGCGGGTTGGAACCCCTTCCCCTGTAGCCCCTGGTCTCCGCTACCTGACCAGGAAAGGATCTCCTGTCCCTTGCTCCGGCTTTCCCGGGAAGGGCTCCGTCCAACGCAGCAAGCAGCACCCTCCGCCCCGGTCCCCTACCCACCGCCAAGCTGGCCGAGCCCACAACTGCCCTGGGAAGCACGGAACTCCTTCCCTGCCACTGGAAAACCTGCCAGCTTCAGAGTGGGGGCTTCATGCACTGATCCTTTCACTTTACACAAACGTATAAACGCAGAACTCTTATTCACACATGGAGAAACGTGGGATTAGCACAACATTCATTACTGCCTTTTCACAGCATCTAGTCAAGAGATTAACCCTTGGGAGGGAAATGACCTTCCCCCATATTTCTGTGCATATCGTGACACCAAAATCACGCAGCGTCACGTGTGATTTTTCAACACAAAACGGAAAATTATTCAAAAATAATGACAAATAAGTGAGAGAGCGCTCCGAGAGTCCTTGCTTCCCATGCTCCATGTGTTATGTTCTTGCTTCCCAAGGACTACTGGAGTCAAGCACAATATACAGTTTACTCTGCTCAAGATGTAGGTCAAGTACTCTGACAGCAAAGCCTAGTGCCTCTTGGCAGACACACACGGTCCTTGCTTTTGTAAGCTCTCCTCATACTAACCAAGGAGAAAGGGAGGATTCAGGAACTGTTGTCTTCTCAAGCCCTTTTTGTTGCCATCTGGGGTCCACACTGCAGACATGACAGCAGTACCCATCTGCGTCGGCCTCTAAAGCCCTCTCAGAAACACCTAGGAGCTCTCAGCACTTGGCTAGGGAAGCAAAAGAGCAGCAAGATGTCAGCTTCCCTCTGATGTCTCCAGTCTAGTGACACAATCAAAATCACTGAAATCCATGGCATAAACATGGAAATAGTGCCTCATGTCTCCACCAAGGATTAGCTTTGCCACCTCCTGCCTTTGTAGCAGGACCTGTGTGGTCTGTTGGCTCTTCTGCTGTTGCCCTACCTGCAAAACCGGTGGCTTCTCACAGCCACTCTCCTTTTTGGACAAACGCGTGTGAGAATTCAAGGCAAAGCCACCCCATTCTGCTTTGCAATTTTTAGTGAGATGACAGACTCCTTTTCCTTGCAGTGTGATGCAGGCCTCACGCTGATGCGATGGGCAAACTGCAGCAACCCGACTCCACCAAGGCAGCGTCAGCTGGAGGTCCCTGCGCCTCGCTCAGAGCTGCACGCGGGCTGCAGATGGGGAAGATGGTGAAAACTCGCGCAAAGACGAGTACAGACAGTCCGGTCTGCCACAGGGGTCCTGGCACACTGACAAGGCTTACTGAATTCAGTGTTGATGTAATACAAAGAGATGTTAGCTGTTAAAATAAATAGCTGAAGTCCATTATTCAAATATTTGGCTAAAATATTCAAAATTCTTGGCCAGATTTGTGCAGGCTTTCACAGAGTGGCAAAAACATCTAAACAAAAGGCCATTCCTCCAAATCTCAATCACTGATCTACCACATACAGGTATCAGAAAACTTCAAAAAAAGGTCACCAGAACCGCCTACCTGGGAAAAGCTTATTTCTCATTCAGCCTGTTTTCCTGTATATGGGAGGTGCTACAGTTGTTATTCAGTATTAGCTTGTTCCTAAGAAGGTGCATACCATGGATTCATTTATGTTAAAGCAAATAACAGTGAGGAAGAACACTCGCCACCATGCCCAGGGATGCCCTGTCAGCCAAGGAGAACAGGAATGGGGTGCAACATTCTCGGCACCTTCCCTGGACATGTGGCAACCACTGCAGTGGATGCGGGACGTGCTCCAGCAGACGTGTCTCCTGCGCAGGATATGCTCCGTTATCTGGACGTGGCAAGACGAGTGGATAGCACTTCCACTCCCAAAGGGCTATTGGGGATTTAGTTGTGCGGATTTACGAGTCTGCACTAACTTTGGGCTGCAGCCCTCCAAGCCTACACCAAACAAGGTTTGCTTTTGACTCCGAATCTCACCGGAGAAGCTGCGATGAGTTGTTTATTGGAGAATCCAATTAAAATAAAGGCTGTCTACTTTATGCTTGGAAGTTTGCTCTCCCTTTTCCATTTGCTTTCTCCCCTGAGATCACGACCATGACTGCAGAGAGGGAGGAGAGGCAGCGTTATCTCTGTGAGCTACACTGCATCATCCATCCTAGGAGCTCGCCTGCCAGCAATAAATCTCCCCTGCTCAAAGCACATCAGTAATGAATGCAGATCACTTACCTGTTGCCTTCTCGGGATTATTGCACATAAAACATTGCCAAGTTCCTGCTTCCTCACTGTAGCCGAATAAATCAAAGAACCTCACTTCTTCCAGGTGCATCTGTACATGGTCCAGATCCTAGGCCAGTAATGAGAAAAACCAAAGCCATTCACCACGTGGACTCTGCACAGTTAACAGCTCGTAAAACCAACCACAAAGGGCAGCGCATCGGGACTGAACAAGTGCTGTCTTTTATATTTTTCATGTGGACAAACAACCTGCCTGGCCAAACGTACTAAACGGGACACATCTCTCTATCATCAGTAGCAGCTAATATAACAAGTCTTTGGGAGGCAGAGGTCTGGTGGGGGATTTTTGTCTCTGCAGCATCCCCAGCACTCAGCTGGGAATCACTGCTACAGAATGGAGGTTCTCCACCCAACTCTCCTGCGAGAAGCGCTGATGCCCTAATATGAATGTTTACTTCCCAAACCGCAGCAATGACAGGGCGAGTTTGTGTTAGACCAAACATACCCGCGTGAAGGTAGCGAGAACAGTCAGGGAAGGACAAATGATGAATCTTGAAAGAAAACTTAATGTCCAGCTCCATCTAAGAAGCCTACAGAAACTGCACTAGCAGTTGCAAGCATGGAAAAGATGGAGAATGCTCTTGGACAATTAATAACGCTGCATAATTCAGTGTAATTTAAACCCAGCGATTGAATTTTAAAAACGACTCTGACCTCGCACTTAAGCAAACACTCGAGTTAAACAACACTCAGCCACTCGCTCCACACACGCAGACGCTGCCAAGCGGCTCCGAGAACTCTCCCCTCTCTTTGCGTGGGGTCTGCTGAGCTCTTGCAATCTCGCAAGCCCAAAGAAAACACGGATTTACACAGATCATACAGTAAATGGAAAAAAATTCCTCCTCTTGCCAGGGACATTAGTTCAACCCACGGAACAAGACTGGACAAAGGACAGAGGTGTTTGATTCAGGCCTTTTCCACATGTATCTATTTCAAAACATTTACAAAATCTGAGGAAAAGCCCGTGGCTCCAAGGAGAGGCCCAAGGGCACCACTTCTCTCCTCCTCAGTGTCTCCAGACCTAGGACACACTCGGGAAGCAGCCATTTTCCCAAGACCCGAAGCAGCCCGAGGGGACCTCATTGCCTTGGTTGCAACCTTGCCCCAGGCCCTTCCTACGGCAACATCACGTCACACCGTGGTGCCCCATGTAAGTGCCCGAAGAGCTTTCCTATGGCCCATGCTGCAGAGTTCAGCCTGGGGCAGCAGAATTGCCAGAAGAAAGGGGAGAAAAAGCTGCTGACACTTCAAACTGCCTCGGCTCTGCAAACACACCAAGCCCTCCACATCGACACTTTCAATAAGAACATCCTCGAGATATTCTCCTTGGAGAAGAGCTGCTCTCCAGGCTGGCCTTGCTCCCCGGCTCAGCACGCGGAAGGAGCCCATGCTACTCTGCTGGCTCCCCTTCGGTGTCCAGCCCCTCGCTCTGCTCTGCCATTTGGGAGTGAAAGCTACTGCTGCACGAGGCTGAGCCTCCCTCTCTAGGAGTGTGCGCACGGGGCCTGGTGTGTTTGCACAGGCTGCTCTGTCCCAGAGCACTCAGGTGCTGGAAACTGCCAGTAAAACTCCACTGTTTTACTCTTGAACGTCACCTTTCTTTCTGCCAGTCGGCCAAAGGCAGATCTCAGGCAGCGTCTGCCTTTGGGGACACCAGACGCTGCTGTGGGACTCATGGTTGGTGACTTCGCGGGCAGGAGGCCCTGGGAGAGCTGAAGAGCCAGACTGCTCTCCAGCTTCTCGGTTTCCTGCCTGCTTTAGGTTCTGGACCAAGAAGCTCCCCGGGTAAGGAAAGGTGCCACAGTCATGGCCAGGAACATGCCCTGCCCTAACATGTCCTGGCTCTGCTCTCCCTTGGTTTGAGGTTCTGGGAGGACACGAGACGGACAAAACAATGGTGGTTTTGCTCCGAGTGCAGCTGGCGTGGGCACTCTAAGAACAGATGAATCAAAAATACCTCCAGGCACCTCTCCATCCTGTGAAAAATCTCTTTAGCTGCTGCAGTGAGTCAGTGGTGTGATCAGTAGATCAAAAGGAAGACAAATATGTGTTGAAAGCCCAACACAACAATCTTTCTTACACTTACCTTTCCACTCTGTAGTAGTGGAAGTAACCTGAAATAAGCCACTTATTTTAGCAGGGGAGAGGGCTGCATGGTAAAAGTCAAAGTGGAAGAGGGGAGATTTGTCTTATTCTTACACTACATTAACTTGAAAAATCCAGTGTCTCCATTGTGAAAATGTGGCGCTTCTTTCTGCTGCGTGAGCAGAGACAGCAAACAGAGACATAACGATGGCTTAAGAATGTTAATTATTCTCTTGCAAGGCTCCTCAACAACAGACCATCCTAGGGATCACACGGGGCTCATAAAGTAGTCACCATGTCCCTCTTCTGACACAGCATGAGTCAACACAAAGAATTCTGCTACAAGCTCCAAACCAGCTTAGTTTTTATAATGTAGCCTGTGTGTACTTTGATAAAGAGCTATGAAGCAACTGAACGGAAATCTGTGAAGATGTACATCTGGAAATACTTTACTTCTGGCACGTTTTAAGCAGTGTAGTATAAATATTTTCTGTGGCAAGAGCGTACTGCACAGTGATACATGACATTCTTTCTATAAGCTAGGTATTCATTGCAAATTCCTTGCACACACATATTCAGGCCAAATCCAAAGACTAGTTACAGTGATGTAAATCTGGAAATAATTCTCAGAATTTAGCCTGGAATAGCTCATTGATGCAATATATTATTCTCCAGGTTTGCAAAATGCTTTTCCAAATTATATAAAAATGTGTAAATTCCTTTATTCTGGATTAGCTCAGTGTTGCAGGGTAAAGGTTGAGCAATCGCAGAACAATTGCACTACGGTTCCTGCTCACTTCCGTAAGGCTATGCCTGGCTTACCCCACGTGCTTATCCAGCACAGAAGTTCCTTGATAAGGTACTGGAACATGACTCATAAAATTGGAATATAATACAGAAAGTTGATACTGCATTTGCATCAACACATTTCAAAAACATTTCTATGATGAGATAAGTACTATGTTTAACAAAATAGCCACACATCTACAGCTTTGCTTTCTGCACTAGTGGAAGAAGAATAATATTAACAACTACAATGATTTTGCAAATCATTTGTAATATTTTAAGCTCCACTAATAACAGGAAGACTGTCAAGCAAAATCACTACTAGGTCATGCTGGGAATCTACTGCCGAGGGCTCCTCTGGCTAGTATTTTTTGGGAGCGTAAAAGAAATTTTCCTTACAGTAGACCTCGATTTTGCTCCCAGAAAACTCAGTGGGATGTTTCCGAGTAAACTCACTGAAGTTTTGTTAGAAGCAGAACCAAAACACAGAACATGTCAGATGTAGCACGTTGACTCGGCTGTCTTCCTCCTCAAGGACGTTACGTAATCTACAACTCCCAGAGTTTCCAAAGTTCTACTCGCTACTTAATTCATTAAATCAGCAAGGATCAGGATCGTATTTTCTAGCTCAACTATTTTGGGAACTCAAAGATACTGTTACTGTCATGAAGTGATGAAACTTCCCAAAATAGGTCAAATGCTAGTATCTCAACAGCAGTAGGATTATGCAATCAAGACTCTGGAGAGTAATCACATTTCCAGGGTGCGGGATGTATTTTGCAGAATTTCTATGTATGATGTACTACATCTAATTCTACCCATGAAGAAACGTTCTTTTCTAATCTCTTTATTCACCCAAACTCTTTCACACTCAACCAGCTCTGACTTTTGACTAGCAGCTTTTGGCGTGGTCTCAAGTTAAGCCACTATTAAGCAGCAAGACAGTTCTAATGCCTTCAGATGACTCAGGCTAGGATTTCACAAGCTACTAAAATACTTAGTGCAGGCTTCAACATGTTGAAGTGTAACTGGCCCATAAGCTGGGACTCAGATTTGGGGACCCCCCTATTCCCATTGCAAGTCACAGCAGGAGTTCCCAGTTCAATGCAGAATTATCTTTGAGTTTCAGAAGGTGTTTTTAGCAAAACCCCTGCTTTTAAATCAGCCATAACCTTAGTAAATTAATCTTATTCAGTCAGATGTTTTCTATGCTTAAAATATTCCGAGAGAAAATATTTTAAAATCATGTTTGACAATTCATTTCATCCAATTTAGCTGGATGGAGATGTTCAGGAATAAGTAGATATTTGTTTCACAGACCTACAGTGGCCTCTTCCAAGAAGCCTGATTAATAGCTTTGAAACAGCATTCCCTAAAATCCTTGAGACAGTAAACAGCTTTCAATGAGTAATCTTTTAAACTGATGGGGGTAACTAATGGTGCACGTGCAAACCATCGTTCCCATAAAATGCAACTCTAACTAGACGACTTTCCAAGCGGCTGCCAAACAGCCCATAGTGGCAGCTAATTTGAAGCAAGAGCTTGAAACAGCTAGTGTGAGCAGGAAAAGATCCATATGTGGCATCACTAGTTTTCACCACTTGAGGAACAATTTTGTGCGTAGGAGGGATGGGAGAACAAGGCTGGAGGCCTTTCAAAGCACAGCACAAAGCCACCCCACGGACCCACTGCAGAGCATGAAAACGTCACAGCTGGCGGTGGCTTTTCAGCCCTGCTGCAAGCTGAGTGTTTGGGTTAAGGAGATGAGAACAGCCACGAGGTCCTCCAGTGGAAGAGGACCTGGCGCGTGAGGCTTGGACGAAGGCAGAGCTAAGGCACACCAGAGAGCAGCGCATCACTGCAAACCCTTCTGCTGCCCGGGCAGACCCTGGTATTGGCAACCCTACCTTGCCCATCGGTCAGCTCTTCTCCTGTCGTACCTGCACAGCCAAACTCATTGTCTTTTGGCCAGTGCAATTACAGTTTATGTTGGAAATGCTGGAAGAGTAGTTCATGTATTTATTTATTTGTCTTAAGTATGCAGAAGCAAGGAGGAGATGTTGACCGGTTCTCCTTAATTTAAGTGAGCATAAAAATGCCATTGCCGTTACTGGCGGTGAGATTGGCCCTAATTTCTCATTGCTAAGGACTTTATGACTTGCACAGCTTTAGATGTACTGTATGAGAGATGAGAAGAAACCAGGAAAAAGAAAAGATGTGAAGAAAAATTAAAAAAATGAGGAAAAAAAAAGGGAGGAGGAAGGGCAGGGCAAAGGAAAGGAAGGTTTGTTTTTCACTGTATGAGTACAGCAAAGATCTTTGTACAATAGTTCTAAAAGCTAGTGCAAAATTCTTCTGCTGGGGTTATTTTTCTCAGAGAAAAAACGCTTACCTTCTGGTGTGGAAATGTGCACTGGATCATGGCGGTTTCAAAACTGTGTGTGCCCTTGAGCTGCGTCTTCTCCCACAGGGCCTTCAGGACCTGCACAGGACTGCTGTGTATGGACAAGGGTTCTGCAAACAGGCTCTGAGGAAAGTATTGAGAACAGCATTTCAAGTCTTTTTTCCTTGGTCATTAATAAACAGCATCTTGTTCTTATTTCATAACGGGACAGTCATGCAAAATAACAAGGAATGAGTTCGTTTCTCTCTGAGGAGTGGCAATAGGTCCGTATGCACACAATTAGATTAATCCTCAAATATTTCATTTGCTCTTAGGGGAGTATTTTCATAGTACATTATATGTCTTTAAGATTTCTGGTTCACTGAAGATTATACATCAACTACTAGCATGCGTAGCAAGTTGCATGTCATGTTTGCATTTAAATGCTGGTTTAACACAACGTTAGTAGTACTGGCTTCTGTGGGCTAGATGGACATCTCAGACATACTGCTTTTTTGCAGTGAGACAAGGAGATGTCATTTATCAGTTAAAGCAAAGAGGTGATTAACACTGTTTAATGTTTGCAAATGCTTAGTGGGGCCTGCTTGGTCCTTGTGGGGAAGAGTAACTGCAATGATTGCTCGTGACCACAGTGGATTACACTACAGCTGCGCCGAGCTGCGCTGGGACAAAATGCAAGAGAAAGAAGCTCATGCAACGTGTTCAGTGCAGATCTTATTGCCAGAATACAAGAAGTTTCACCTCCTGAACGTCCACAAAGCAAGGTGAAACAGCACAAGGTGCAGCCTCTGCTAGTTTGGGTGCTAGCATCTCAAAAGTGACCTATTTTCAAGGACCTTATGTGGCCTGAAATTTTTCTCATGGTTGTGTTGAATATAATAATAATTCATACACTGCACACAAAGTCAATGTTAAAAGAACACCACTGCAGTTGTGAGAGCTGAGCACTTCTGCCTCTATTGAATGTTTTACGTGACCTGGTAATTAAAGTTGTATTTGCATGCAGGAGACAGGCATGTGCAAGCACATTTGATGTTCCAGATTTCAAATGCCTCATTTCACAATATGGATAGCGTCCTTTTAACATGGGTTTTGTGGATTCGTGTTCCTTCTGCTCTTCCCAAGGAGAAACGCAGCAATGCCCCGTCCTCCCCGTGCCACCAACCCATCACATAAGCCAAGCTCATCGCAACAGCTCCAATCTCTGGGCCAGAGACCTAACTTGGTGGCTGCATCGCTCCGCCATGCTGGAAGGGGTTGGGATACCTACATTTCCATTAGATTTTACACAAATTGGCAACGTCTATGGCAAGATAAAGGCTCTGGTGGTTTACTTAGGATTGGGCAGGATTCTGCAGGGATGGCAGGACCCGCTGCCAAGCGGCGCTGTCCCAGCGAGGCCTTGCCAGAGGAAAGGGCACCAGGAGTTTTCAGCGTGGCCAAGGCGACGTGTTTGTCCAGCCACATTGCCCGAAACAGCAGATCATTTTGTCCAAATTAAAGCTAAAAACCAGTCAGCTTGAGGCAGCCACGTGGCAAGAGGAAACTGCAGCCCAAATAGGTAGTGTCTGGTCAGTTCACGAGGGGCTGTAAACGAGGTACGAGTGATCACTGTGAGACACGGCAACACCCACCCCCCTGACAGCAGAAACTAAACCATGGAGCAAGGGCAGGAGGAGGGGGATTTTAATGAGCATATCTGTGAAATCAAATACCACCCCTGCAAAACATTCTCTCTGAGGATCACCCCTTATTTCACCTCTGCTCCTCTTCTTAATAAGCATTTAGCTGCAAGAATGTAAGCTGTGGATCTCTCTCTGCATAGCGGATCTTCATGGGAACATGCTCCCCTTCCCCGTGGCCGAAAGCTGCTCTGCTGAACACGTACTAATAATCTGCAGTTTCACAACTTCCACGGAAGCATTGCGAAACATGAGGTAGCTAGTCACTAGCATTTTTTAAATTAAATGGAAAGCAGAGTTGTGAAATTACGGATCTGCTCTGGACACCTGAAAGAAAAACTCTCCCTCCGCAATCTCGGGAAGGAAACGCTTTGCCAAAGAGGAGATACAGCAGCCGGCAAAAAGATGAATAGAAATAGGGTAACTTGTATGGAAATCCTTTGAAATCATATATTATTCTTTTGACTATGAATCTATGACAAATCTGCTGAAAGCTACATTTTTATCACTAGCATTTCATTTAACTTATTATTAACACACTATAAATATATTTTATGTCAAATTTATCTCTTGTGCAATTTCACAGACTTAAATATCCCAGGGCTGAATTTAGCATGCTGCATTTAATTTAATCATAGTTGTATTTCCAGGACATAAAAGCTTGGGGATTTCAAACAAAGGAAAAGCATAAATTACCCTGCACTGAATGCACCCAGATGCACAGCAAGGTTGAATGCTCCTTTCCATAAAGGAGCATATAGGAAATGCTGCATCTGCAGCATGTTTGCAAAGACACAAAACCGAACCATGCTGTTTCCAGCCCGTCCTTGGGCTGGAATCTAAGGCCTTGGTTCTGCTCCCACAAAAAATGAATCCCAATTTTCTGAGTATTGGTAAAGGAAAAGGGCTGTACCTTGGGCTTGCTAGAAGTTTTGCCTGAAAAAGGACAATGAGGTTTGGTCCCGCACTGGTTCTTTCTTGGACTTTGCACTCTGCACTTTTAAGTTGTTATATTTAACAGAAATTTCCTCCAAATTGCAAAATCGCATCAGCCTACTGTAAGGTACTCTCTTGGTGGCAAGTTTAATAATAAACCTGTTCCCTTCCTACTACTGGATTATAAGCATATTTAAACAAATTAACAATTAAGACTTTTTTTTCCCAAGTATAACGTTAACAATATAGAGGTGCCACTAATTTGTATTGCACACACCTGCTGAAAGAGAAACATGATATGGATCCACAGCGGTGGCTGCCGGCTGACGAGGGTAAAACTGGATTTACTGTAGAGGCAGTAATGGCCCTTCAGGGGACAGCTGAAGAACAACTTCGCTACACAACTTCTAACAGAATCTAGAAATAAATATACATAATGTTAAAATCAGCTTCATAAAAGAAATCGATAAGTCTAAGTTAATGCATGTGCAATCACGCAGCGCTTGCAGATATATTCCCCCACCGGTGTATTTGCCAGAGTCCAACCATACTCCAATTTATCAACCACGAATAAGAGATTCTGGGTAAACTTCATATTCTCTATCGCTTTAATTCCTACCCCAAATGCAGAAGGTGCAGGCCTGCAGTCAGGCCTTAGCACTTACCTTCCGCCCGTTTTAAGAGGCACTCATGCACTCTATACGTGTTGGGCGTTTATTAAACCAGATGAATGTGTCAAAACTGTTTAACCCTTGTTCTTATTTCAAGAGTTTGTTGGAAAAAATATCCTGCATTAGGAAGTAGCCTGATATGGCTACATGTGGCCTGACATTTATGAAATTCCTGCCGAGTTTGCACTGGGATAAAAGCTGCTTTCTCTAGGAATTGCACCCTGCTAAGGGAAGTGCTCGCTTCCTAGCGGGAAAACGACTCCTAAGGCACGGCGAGGCAGGAGAGGGCACACAGCAGCACCGTACACGTTGACGTGTTCGCTGGGCAGCCCCACTTGGTGGCACCTCAGAGCACCCAGGGGTTTTCTTTAAAAAGGGCAGTTTGAGCCACGGTGCCAGCAAGTGCCCAGAGCAGGGAGCGGTTCTGGCTCTCGCAGCTGCCTCCAAGTCCCTCTACTCACGCTGTCAGCGATGCGCAGGCAGACCGCGTGCAGACAGACCGTGTGCAAACAACCGCGTGCAAATGTGTGCAAACAACCGCGTGCAAAGAACCGTGTGCAGAAACAACCGTGTGCAAACCACCGCGTGCAAGCCACCGTGTGCAAACCACCGCATACAGAGAAACTGTGTGCAGAAAGACCATGGGCAGAGAAACCGTGTGCAAACAACTGCGTGCAGAGAAATCGTGTGCAGAGAAACAACCGTGTGCAAACCACCGCGTGCAAACAACCGCGTGCAGACAAACCACCGTGTGACCAACAACCATGTGCATGCAGCATAACTGTGTGCAGGTGAACCACCCACACAGTTGCACGCACTCCAAAAGCGTCCTTCAGGATTGGTACAGCAGTCTGTGTGTCACATACCATAATTTTACCTGTTCTGAGCTTACTGTGCTGTTCCTAAGTGTAAATAAATTCCTTTGAGATGCACGCTTCTATTTTGCAACTATAGCACTGTGTTGTGTTTTTGTCTTGGTTAACTAGTCGTAATAGTAACAGCAGGTAAGGCACAACCTAACGAGGCTTTTTTACTAACTCTAAATAGCAGCATCACTTTTAACCCCTTGAAATGGCAACACGCAGCTCTTCAACGTGAAAAGTCTTAGAAAACAAGGGACAAATCCTACACGGAGGACCTTGATGCCAACGCAGGGAGGAGCTGCCCTGCTCCCATGCAGGCAGACCGGGAGCTCGCGCGCTCGACCACTTGGATCGCATGCTAGAGAACTGACAGGGGGCACGAGAAATCACTGTGTCTGGAAAAATTAGTAGCAACTTGCTGAGAACGACTCAGGGGAGATGGTTTAACTAGCACATCCCTCTGGATCTACTGGCCACGAGCGTAAGCAGACAGGAAGGCTCTCAGCCTCTATCTCCAACCATAGATAATCCCGGAATACTTGCTGTTAACGGCTTTTATGTAAGCAAGATGTGAAAGCATAGGAGAAGGGTAATAAATTCAGTATTTCACACAGAAACACAGCATGTGAGAAGTGACTACAGCAGAGGTACAGACGGGTGGAGAACACCAGCACTTCGGGACTCGGGATGAGAGAACACGGAATCTCTGGGCAAGTGGCCAGACGGCACTCAGTCACCCTCAGCTTCACTGAGGGGGAAACATCTGAGGAGTAAAGAAGCAGGGGCAGATTCAAGCTGGAGTCCACAAGACCAAAGAACAGAAGTGGGTTACCCCGGCTGCAGCTGAGCGGATGGCAACCACCCGTCTGTCTCAGAGGAACGTCTACAAGGTACCACCAGGAACAGGTGAATCTTGGGTTATCTGAAAGCCTGAAAGGGAGATGTTAATTAATCTTTATCTGTAGGAAGGGGCATGAGCTGAGATGGGCCCAGAAAGAGGGATACTGAAAGGCAAATACAAAATACAGGCAGGGGAAGGCCAGGGCTACAGCTGGGTGGTGCAGCCTCCTCGGACGGGGACCGCATGGACTGAATCAAAACGGTGTTGAGCAGAACAGGACGACAGAGGATCTGAGCTGAGGAGAACTCTGGAGACGTCCCAGGGCACGTCGAAAGAAGAGTCCTGCCCAATTCTGCTAAGCCGAGCTGTAATTCTGAAGGAAAACGAGCTTAGCTGCACACCACAGAAATGTCATACCCACAAGCAACATGCCACCCCCGCCTCCTCTTCTTAGCAGGAAAAGGGCATAAAACCACAGGTTTTGGAACAGGAACTGTGGGGAAAAAATTGAGTTTATCCCAACTACGCAAACCAGCAACCTGACAGTGTTCGTGTCCAGGGCTAAGAAGGGCTTTGAGAAACTGAAGAGGTTCATTAGAGAGGCCACAAGCCCTGGCACATATTAAAGCACAAAACCTAAACGATGCCTCCGAGGAGGCTGTTCACAGGATGTTTTTCCAAAAGCACGGTCCAAACTCAAGCCCCCTGCTACAAGCATCACACGTGCTTAAAAAAAACCCTTAATTTCAATACACTCAACTAGAGGTGGAAGCTTGGCCAGAGTCCACGTGAGAAGTTTAATGCTTCATTATGGGAAATCCCTCTTAGCTAAAGGTGACCATAAAGCACTGACCGCCGCCACGGCCAGGGCTGGCGACCACCACCCTGCTCCGCTCGAGCACAGCGGTTGTTTCCTCAGCTGCAAATGCTGAAGCTGACCATGCACGGGGAGGCAACTGCAGGTGGCTGGATGCTACCAGCACCGAGCACCTGCCCATGGTGACACCAAGGCCACCTCTGCCAGACTGCACCAGGATTTGGGCAGTTTTCTCTCTCATTTGGCAGCTTCGGTGCGTGCTTGAGCCCCTCGAGCCTCTTGTTGCATACTCTTCCCACCCCTCGCTGCAGTGCGATATAAAGCACGCGAACCCTGCGCAAGCCAGGCTGCTCTGGGGAGGTTAGAGCAGAGCTAACAGAGCACAGCAAGAGCAATTTGCAGCTGCAGGATTCAGGAGAGCCGCTTGTGGGCCAGACGGTCGGAGCCGCAGCCCTGGGGACGTGCAGGCGCGTTGAGCACGGAGCCTGACCTAGCAGGGAGCAAGTCCGGAGCTCTGCCAGGACGGGGCAGCAAACAAACTGAGGGAAA